AATGAAACTCGAATGAAAAATATATCATCTTAACCGATGTAAAAGTACATTCTAAATGGCGTAAATATAGAAATGTACTTCACTGTAATAAACATTTCAAAAGCGAATAACAGTTACGGCGAAATGGATTTAACCTATTAAGCAGTTTAACGTATAATTAATAACCAAGAATATCCTTGGATAAATATATCATTACGCTTGAAATATTCACAAGTCACCATTAGTTACGTTAGCAAGTTGACTGCCACGGTGATCATCGGCAATCCGAGTTCGCTAAACTCGTTAGAACGATTAAAATAAGATAAACTTTATTAACTAAAAAATGTTCAACGATGATATAGATGACGTTGCCACAAGAAAAATATGCAAATACGGTATAATATTTTGGAAAAATTAAATGTTACGGTATATTTCGATCTACTGTGACCCTCGAGATAAAATGTATAAAATTCACATAACTTCAAAGCTTTACATTCTCGAGCCATCAGTCGATTCTCCCCAAAGATACGCCTAATTTCCAATCCTATTATCCAGAAACTACAGTTTTATCGATCGACTAGCACAAATTTCTCTCAATCGAGCACAAGTATAACACAATTACGATGCAACAGCACGTGTCATCGAATGTTTGCCAGGGAACCATCGCGAGGTAGGATCGTTGCCCTGTCAGCCCCTGTTATACAGCACGAGATTAACGATAACGTGACTATGTTCTGTCACCTAAAGCACATATACCAGCCGAGTTCCCGGAACGATGCTCCACGTAGTACTTCGTTCCTGGTAAAAACGCATTAATTAGATTTCCACTTAGCTGCCCTTCCTACGTTGCTATCCAAAGCGAAGCCTGTAAAGCCTCAAGGTCGCGGATACCTCATCGACGCTGGAATTCGAGCCGAGTTTCGAATTTCGAAGCGGAATGAACGCGAGTAGCTAGTTCAAGCAAAGAGGTGAAAAAGAGAGAAAAAAAAGGATTGAATTGAAGATTCGAAGAAGAAGAGCAAGAGACGTTGAAGTAGACGTTGCAGGGAATAGAGAAACTTGGTGAAAGATGTGGATGAATAAAGTCGATTGCGCGGAAGATACAAAACTGAAGTAATTAAGAAACTGATAGATGACATAGGTAGCATAAAAGGAGATTTTAGTAATTATTTATACAGCGGTGACCTCACCGATCTCAGTGATCTTAAAATATGTCCTCGGTGCTAACATTCTGTACAATTTTTCTCTGTATGTGTTAACGTCGCTTGGTTTTGCTCTTCGAGATATTTGGAAAAATCTTCAGTTCAATCTACATCACGGTCACACTTCGTTCTGAAGTAGACAGACGCCTCACGGCGTCCGTATTTTCGCGTAGTTCGATCTAACTTATTTTCCATAATCATTTTCAACATTTTCTACATTTCGTGTAGGAAAGAAAAATCAACGGGATAAGTTCGAATGAGAAAATTATTCCTACCTACCTCGCGCTACTGTGAGATAATTTAAGGTGTTACACAATAAGACAGACACGATTCGTATTAAGCTTTATGTTATCTCGGCGTTATTCAAAATTGGAAACACTTGAACTATGACATTGAAGAAAGCGACTATTCGATTATCAAAATCATACTGTCGTCGAACCAGAAGCCTCTCATATGTCAGAAACTACAGCTGGATGATACCTATAGGGAAAGATTGATCAGAATGTTGATCTTGACGATATATTTCAAGATCATTGAAATCGGGAGTTCGTTCGCTTTGTAAATAAATTACCGAGATTTTTAATAAAATCCTTGCCATCGATCGTAATGTAGTTGGCGTTTACAATTGTAGTTTTATTCCAGAATGGCGCTACAAGCTAAAATAAATTATTCCAGCGTTTGTGACTTCTTTCTTTATATTTCGCATGAGATTTACGTCCATTTTAATTAGAAACTGGCATTCAATCTTTTTACACTGAAATCCTTTAGCTATTTGAATTTCTGAAATGAAGATGATAGTGGATAATTGTAAAAAAGAGAAACTAAAGAGGGAAATAAAGGAATAATAGAACAAAGAACGAGAAGTAACATCGCTGAAGAAACGAAACTGAAAAAGTTCTATCTTTGAAGAGAAAGAAAAATTCTGTAGAAAAGGGAGAAACAGAAAGATCGAAGAGAAAATGGGGATAGGGAACATAAAAGAGAAATACTACGTAAAAAATTGCAAAATAAAATCGCAAGAAGAAGACAAACTGGTAGCAAAAGGCGAGTACAATAAAAATGTAAAGATACAAAGAGCAACCGTAAATTGGGGGAAGGAAAAGTAAATTAGCGAATCTATTTCTGTCAGCAAGAGAAGTACAAGAGAAGTACAAGAGAAGGAAATGAACGGTTCAATTGCAAAAGCAAATAACGAGAAAAAATTCATTAAGAGAACGCGAATCAGATCGTACGAAGAGCGCACAGAATTGATCACCGAAATGATAAAAATATAGAAAAACAAACAGATAGAAGGAATTACAGAAATAAAAGAGGAAGCAAATACAAGAAGGCAGACTTCTCTCTGAGAAGGGGAGAACAAAGAACATGCGAAGTAGCCGGGAACGACCAGGAACGATAGAAAAGGAATATGAAACAACCAAAAAAGGATTTTCACAATTTAAATATGGAATATATATTTATGCAAACGCATAAAATCATTTGTAGCTTCCAATTGGAAAATTACCGGCAGTCGTACAACAAACGTATTCGAAATTATTCGTGTGGAAATTATTCAGAAATAATGAAATACTCCTGAAACCTAATAGTTGACTTCTTGCGTCCATTACGCGATTAAGCATAAGAAAAAAAGGAGAGCTGCAGACGGGAACGAAACGCGTGGAGAGGGCAAGGAGCCACAGGGAAGGAAAGAAAAAACATGGAAAGACCGCAGAATGTGAAAAACGAACGAGCAAAACCCGGCGTAAAAATACGCGGAGGTGAAAGAAGAAAGCGAAAGCACGGCAAAAAGCGACCGATGCAACAGCCAAGAGGAGGGAACGAAACAAAAGCAACAACTTAACATGCACGGTGAAGGAATTAAAAGAAGTAAGAATACAGGAACTCGAAGTGAAGGGCCTGAGGAGAAGTGGACGAGGAAGAAGACGAAGCGGAGGAAGAAGCAGAAGTGGCAGAACAAAGGGAAGAAAGGTACAAAATAAACAACTTTGACCAAGTGGAATAAGAAGTGAAAGTACAAGATAACGTATCTAACAGGCAGAAGAATAACATAAAAAGAAGCGACTATCTAAAGCGAATAAGAGAATGAAATAAAAGAGTAAGATAGAAAGAAAGAATGAGAAGATCGAGGCTAGAGAGAGTACGTAAGTGGGGCCAAAAGTACATAGTGCGGCTC